CCGTCATCTCGCTTCAACTGCTGATGTGGTACAAGCTCAGCATAATCCTTTTCAATGACTTCGGAGAGGAAAGCTGTGTACTCTTGATGATAATCCTTGTTCCTCTTGAACTTCTTGTGAAGACTTAAGAGACGCTGCTCTGCGATGCTGTAGTTATTTGGCAAGATGACATCTTCAGTCTTAAAAGGCAAATCAAAGCAGTAGTGTCCTTCATCAAGCTGAATCGAAGACTCCATTATTTGCATGAACCTTTGATCCTCTCTGGAAGGACAAACATCATCTGATCTTTCATTGAAATCCCGATTGTATTGGGCAACCAGTAAGTCTTGTAGCTTGGTGACTGAGATCCTATTGGCAGTGACAGCAGGACAGCCCATCTTGCCTTTACGCGACTCACCACCTCTCAGAGGACCATTCACGACCCACCCCAGTAAAGTCCTGACAGCATATGGCCCTTCACCTTGGCTATTTATTATTTCCCATGGTTCCATGAGCTTCGGCGCATTGGTGCCTATCAGCAATTCCACCTCTGCCTCAAAACTGGGAACTGTAATGCCTTCAAGGTATTTCCATCCCTCTAAGTCCTGTTGAGTGAGAATGTTATTTCTACTCACAGGCATGGTCCTCTGAGTGTAAACTTCGGGTAGATCCAGGAAATTTTCTTCGTTCAAGCCAGAAACCTGGAGACCATTAAGTAAGATTGTGTCTACAGACCTCTCTTGGCCAAGAGTACGAAGAAGAATGCTAGTCTTGACTCCTGAAAGATTCAGCTTTCTCATGAGATTTTGGGTACAGAAAGAAGCGGAACTCCCAGGGTCTAGAAAGGCATAGGTGTTCAAAATTGTGCTCCCAGACTTGGCCTTCACCTGTACAGGCACAATAGAGAGAACACATTCATCACTTCCGGCCCCAGTATGGCCACACGTCTCCAATGACACAGATGCATTATTGACTGACACTTCCTGTGTTTTAGATTCAATGTGTAGGACAGTTGGATGTTTGTGTTTACATATATCACATGTTAAAGGCTTGTCACATTCCCTGCTCATATGACCTCTCCTCAGACAGCTGAAACACACTCTGCCCACTTTCAAAGCCTCCAATTTCTCCCTGTGTGTCATCTCATCAAGCCATGAACACTTCTCCACTGAATGCTGGCTCTTACACACACAACACGACTCTTCTTCATTCTTTTGTGAAGCTGGCCCTCTGCGCTGTTGGTGCCAAGCTGCTGATGTAGTTGATCCTGAGGCGGTATTGATAGCAGCAACGGTAGCCTGGCCTCTTCCGGTATATCTACTCTTGGGTTTAGAGGAAGGGTCTGGTGGCATACCCTGTAGGTCGCCAAAGAGAGGATCGGACAGAATCTTTACCTGACGCTCGATGAAGGCCACAAAGTCTGGAAACATAGCTCTATAACCACGGTGCTCCTGTAGCTCCCAAGCGACAGACCTCCATTTCTCCCTCAGTTTATATGGCAACTTCATCATTATCAGGCGAAGATTGGATGGCACGTTCAACTCCTCCATATGTTGTAAATCTTCCATGACATTGCAACAGTCCCTTAAAAAGATTGAAAAAGACTGCAGAGCATTAATGTCATCAACCCTCATCATAGGCCACGTCATAGCCTTCTCCATATAAGCTACAGCAATTTTTATTTCATTTCCGAAGTATTCTTTCAGTAAATTCTTTGCTCTCTCGTAACCCTCCCCAGGAGCCATATTATAGCAACTTCGAACCAGTTCCCTTGGCTGCCCTCTGGTATGTTGCTCAAGGTAATAAAGACATTCTTGTTTATCTGTAGTTTTCTTTTCAATAGCTTGCTCGAAAGCTCTAATGAAGGCAGCATACTTAAGTGGATCACCATCAAATTCTGGAATAGCTCGTGGTGGAAGAGAGGCTAAGGCTTGGTTCTGAACCAGCTGAGCAATGATGTTAGTTTGCTGTTGCATAAGGTCATGCAAGGGAGGGTTTTGAACATTGTCTAGAGAAGAATGATGATGCGATTGTGATTGGATACGTGTACTCCCTTGTGAGGTTGGAGGCTGAAATCCTGCTGTTAAAGTGTTGGGAAGTCTGGATCCGTTTCTCTGCACTTCTGACTCATGCATGTGGATAAGCCGACTCCCTGGTGAGATAAATGGCTGAAGTCCTGTTGGTGCAACGTTAGTGCTGGTTCCAAAGATGTTCCCCTGGGCTTCAGACCTGTGAGAAGATGGTGCATATGACACTGAAGATAAAGAGTTATCAGACCTTGCTAAAGACTGGGCTTGTAAAATATGAGGCCTTCCCTTAGGCCGTACAGCCAATGGCAGAGAATGGTCCTGCTGGAAAGAGACAGTTTTAGAAAGTTGTAAGACAGGTGCTGTGTTAGAATAACTTGATGTTTGTGATTTCAAATGAGCATGAAGATAGGCATTCATGGCATCCTCTCCATTATCCTCCTCATCCTCATCTACACCACCACGCACTTCTTCAAGCACAGACAATCTAGCCGTAGCAGCAGCCAACTTGGCCTCAACCTCTAGCTGTTCCTTTTTCCTTTTCAGCTTTGCCTTTTCCATTTGAAGGACTTCTTCTTCAGCATCAATGTCATGCATTTTTCTCAAAGCAGCTGCAGACTGTAAAAGTGCAGCCCTTTCAGCCTTTGCCTTTAAACGCACAGAAATAATACTGGAAGCCTTTGAATGGATAGAAGAATGATCTTTATGGTTTGAACCTTTACTTGAAACATTGGATATACTATCTTCAGGCTGTATGTCAGAATTTACTATAGACGGCACATTAAGATTCTCATCATCATTTTTTGCAGCAGCATCTGACAACCATTTCTTTACATAATTCTCAAATGTATTAATTTCCTTTGTTTTCTGTGCAAGCCAACGTTGTTGTTTGTCATGTTCAGGATCTGGCATAGGCATTTCCAGCAAAGTAGTTTGAGTTTCTAAAGCCTCATTGCACAACTTGGTATATTTATTGAGACATTTCTGCACATCAAACATAGTTTGAGACGTTCTTTTCCCAGAAAGAGCCTCATTAATCCTCTGCTTAATTTTACTGGCTTGCATAAGTTGAGATTTACGATTTTTTTGCAGATTTTCATACAGCATTGTAAGTCCCTTAGCTGTTAACTTTCTTATGCGTTTCCCCGAGTCATCAACAGCAACACTAGACTTATCAGAAATATCATTTTCGTCCATAGCCACAGAAGCAATTTTGGCTCTACTGAGCAAGGTTTCTTCCTCTCTAATCATCTTTATGCATTAAGCGCGTCAAGTTCAAAGCGCTCAATGAAAACAGCACAATTAACTTTCCTTATGCAGAGGAAACCAACAGCACGAACAACACAGCACTATGAGTTTTACGAAGCAACAACACTAAAACAGTCTTTCACTTCAATTTCAAAAGTCCACCTTTTTTTTTTTGCAATTCCATCAGCAGGAATAAATGAAAGTGTACCCCACCAGCTTTCCGTAATTGCAATCTGTGAGAGAACTTACAGGTGTTTCATTTATGACTTCCAAGCTCCATGACACGAGTAATGGCTCTTTCAGACTGCACGATTTTCAAAGTAGTCAGGTCGCTGCTCTTTTCACACTGCATGACTATCTTGGCCAGCATTCAGTCGCTGCTGTGTTCACACTGGACGATGGATCGGCGACAGAAGGTTTCACACTGCATGACTTTAGAAAAATCGCCGACAGACTCTGTCTAGCACGCTGCACGCAAACTACATTTCACAACAAACACGCGTGAGATATGAAAAGGAAACAACGCGCGACACCACACGTGCAAGACCGGAGTTCTCACGTGAGACTTTTTTTTTCGACCCGGTTGTGGTACAGCTGGTGAAACAGACACGAGTGCTCCTGCCAAATTTCTACTAATTTTTCTTCCATTTATTGTGTCCAAATAGACCGAGAAGAAGCTTTTTTTGTTGAAACAATGCCATATCATGTTGATATGTGATCTATAACTCCTCCCCAAACTCCCTGCTGCTCTGTATCTTGCTCTCTCACTGGCTGCCGGTGATCGCCGATGTAGTTTTCAGTCAAAACACTTTTCACACAGCAGGATTTTGAATCGCCGACAGGTCCAGATATTTAGCATGCCAAATATCTCACGGGCGTCGGCGACTCGTCGGTGATTCTCTCAGTTCGCGTCTTTGTTCATTCACACTGCGTGATTGTCACTCGCGTGAACGAGCGCCGATTTGCCTGTGATTTCGGGCATTTGTCGGCGATTTCTCAAAACCTGTCGGCGAGCCAAAATCGTGGCTAAAATCATGCAGTCTGAACTCGGCATAAGCAATCCAATGACAATGAGATGGGCAATCCTTTCATATCCAAACGATCAGGACACTCCAGTTCAGTTCAGAAGCGTATCCAAAGCAGGAAGGAATCGGTTCTTACTGTGTTGAGGCTATCCTATAAGCCTGGTATAGATGGCATGGTGTTCTCAACGCGTAGCTGAAAAATCCAAAGGTCCAAAAACATTTGCTCTCTTTGGGTGGTGTTCCCGTTTATTATTGAGATACAAAAGAGGGAATAATTTACATTAAAAATGGTACTTCACCCAGTGCTAAATATTAAAGTGCTGTCGTGCTGTTGGTAAAGTGGGTGCTCACGGCTACGGTAAGAACCGTGTGTTCCTCACCATCCACACCATACCTAACTGATTACCACACCTGGCTGTAAATATACTTAATTCCCAGTGATGTCACACCCAGTGCAACACTCCCACCAAGTGGCTAGAGTAAGTAATAGCAATATTAACCTATCCACAAAAGGTGAAGGTATAAATGGCTCCTACAACTATAGTGTCACTAAAAGTAAAACCAGTGGAAATGTTTACATTCACAACAAAATTAAATCAATAGAGCATGCTTTGGTGCAAAGGATTCCAATCACCGACTTAAATAAATAATTGAATTAAATAAAGCAAAAAAGGATATTCCCCTAGTACCCTCTGTCTTGTAAGGAAAAGAAAATGACAACCACATTTAAAATCCATCTTTATTATAGACAATAAAAAATGATCATGAAATAGTAAATCAATTAAATTGTTCATTAGTCCTATAAATGCCCAGTTTTCGGTCAAGCTCACATGCTCAAATATACACACATATAACAGACAGTGATGGACCCACCATCTCTTTTTTTTTTTTTTGCTTGTTTGTTGGCTTTCTACACAAAAAATGCACATCTATTATTCCTTCTCCCATTATAAATACAACCATATCCTTATGTTTATTAATGAAACATTGTTAAAGCTGTGAATTCAAACAAAGAACCTTTTTATCTCAAATCACAATCAAGTTCCGACCTGTATTTTTCTGCCACCGTTTCTGCCAGTGTTTGTTATTTGTTGTTATTTGTTATTTCAGACATGTATTTGAGTGTATACATAATTCAGTGTTAATTTTTGACATATATATTTAGTATGTACACAGTGTGTGAATGAGTCTTAAGGTCCAAGGGTGCATAGCTATTTGCTCGCTTTCTTAATTCTAAGCACATGTCAGTTTGTCCGAAAGTGCTTAGTAAGCACTATGCCGAGTCTCAAGCTATTGTTCTTCTGTATCTTGGTGGAATAAGCGAGTGTGAGTTTCAATGTGGCGATTGTGTGCTTGCGGCCGGTGATTCTGAACGTTCTAGCTTGACAGTAGACTCCATGCTAATGGGTGAGGTAGAGGAGGGAAGGACACCTGTGCCCTTGTTCTCCAGTGAGGAAGAGGATGAAGGCAAAGACACCACAATGTATTTCTGGAGAGGGCGTGAGCCGCCCACAGCACCTGTGTTTCCAGACTCAAGTTTGACGAGTGGCTGTAAAGATGTGGGGGTGCTGGGGACTGTACTTGTGACAGGAGATCCAGACTGGGAGGAGCTGAGAGTGATTACCTGGAGGAAGAGTTTACATCTACAATTACAACAGATAACAGATACACTGAACAAAATTATAAACGCAACACTTTTGTTTTTGCCCCCATTTTTCATGAGCTGAACTCAAAGATCTACGACCTTTTCTATGTACACAAAAGGCCTATTTCTCTCAAATATTGTTCACAAATCTGCCTAAATCTGTGTTAGTGAGCACTTCTCCTTTGCCGAGATAATCCATGAACCTCACATGTGTGGCATATCAAGATTCTGATTACACAGCATGATTATTGCACAGGTGTGCCTTAGGCTGGCCACAATAAAAGGCCACTCTAAAATGTAAAGAAAGTTACTGTTTTCACTGTTTACCCTATTAAATTCAGTCACAGAGCAAGCTCTTTTGCTATTCACTCTGTACATGCTACCCTTAGGAGATATCATTAGGAAACATGGAATTAGCTTTCACTGTTATGCTGATGATACTCAGCTGTATATTTCTTCAAAACCTAACGAAACTTACCAATTCACAAAATTAACGGAATGCATAGCTGATATAAAAAATTGGATGACTTGTAATTACAACTAAACAAACAAATGACTAGTAATGACAACTAAATTCTGAGAAAAAAAAACAAACAAACAAAAAAAACAGATTCTAATTATTGGACAAAAAAACTTCCACACGTAACAGCCTAGAATAGACCCCTTTTGTGCCGACGTCACAGTTACGTCACGGCGCTACCTGGAGGCAAAACAAAGTGAAAACTGGAGGCGGCCAATGCAAAACAGCACAGATTCAGCTACATAATAAGGAGCTTAAATAATTGTTACTATTATTAAATGTCATCTTGTTGTGTTGTTTGGTGCAAGAATTGATGAAAAATGAATATGCTGTATCTGGAACTTTTATTTCTAGAAAATATTCACATCATTAAAATCGCACTGTAATGTCACTATTTACATTGTCGTGGTCTCGGCGCTGGCTCTGCAGAACTGCGGATCGTACACTCAAGTCTTGTACAGGACCATATAGGCATCTAAATATTTATATGCCCTCAGTTTCTCTTTACGATCGGTTTCTCTATAAGGTAGGTGTAGAAGTCAGGCCACTCAACCGAGGTAACGTACGTTAATCCTGTCACATCGTCCATGCATTGAGTGAGCGTGTAGGCGGCTACGGGTCGGCCAATCTGGTTCCGTCCGTTAAAAATAACTTTTGGAACAATCGGTCCTGGACACTGAGTGACCTTACACATTAAGATAATATCGGATTTTCTCCAGTCATTGTTAAAAAACAAGCTAACAATCCTAGCTAACTAGCGTTAGTGAAGCGGCCAGATGGACCTTTCTGCCTCCACCTAAGCTCCGCCCACGAAAAAACGTCACCATGTTTACAAACTGTAAAAGGGTCTATACTGTCTAACACTTGATGGCTGCTCTGTTAAGTCTTCGTCGTCGGTTAGGAACCTGGGTGTGCTCTCTGATACCAATCTGTCATTTGCAAGTCACGTGTCTAGTATCTGTAAAACTGCATTTTTCCATCTTAAAAAATATATCTAAATTACGCCATATGCTCTCATTGACAGATGCAGAACAATTAGTTCATGCATTCATGACATCAAGGCTAGATTATTGTAATGCTCTACTGGTGGGTGGTTGCCCTGCATGCTTAATAAATAAACTTCAGCTAGTTCAAAATGCAGCAGCTCGAGTTCTTACCAGAACCAGGAAGTATGACCATATTAGCCCGGTTCTGTCAACCCTGCATTGGCTGCCTATTAAACATTGTATAAATTTTAATATTGCTGATTACTTACAAAGCACTAAATGGTTTAGCTCCCCAGTACTTGAGCGAGCTCTTAACGCATTATAGTCCTTCATGTCTATTGCGATCTCGGAATTCCGGCCAGTTGATAATACCTAGAATATCAAAATCGACTGCTGATGGTATATCCTTTTCCTATTTAGCACCAAAACTCTGGAACAATCTTCCAAACATTGTCCGGGAAGCAGACACACTCTGTCAGTTCAAAGCTAGACTAAAAACACATCTTCTTTGGCCTAGAATGACGGTAGATTTTTGTCATAGTTTTTGTCATTCAAAACTGTTTTATTTAGTTATCGTCTTGTTTTGTGAAAAATGTGAAAAATGCCGTTATTATGCCAAATAATTTATCATTATTTTCGTCAACGGAATTAACACTGGTCTGGACTTGATCCGTTATGAAGCAAGTATGCCCGAACCAAAGCTGTTTGACGAATCAAATTGTCAGTTCAGGTTTTATACGATGATGGACAGATGATCAACCGTAACGTAATCATCCACATCACCAAATAGCATTTAGGATGAATTAGTTTACAACAAAGAATGGCTGTGGCTGGAGAATTTAGATGTTTAGATTCAGCCATCGCGTCTGTTATAGAAGATGTAGAGAGGGCATTCATTTTAAAAGAGGAACAGGGAACCGTGATCAAGGCATTTGTCGATTCAATTGAGTCCAGAGGGATTTTCTTTCCTGGTGTAGTGAACTTATTTCTTCTCAAGTGTAGAAGATTCAGAAGCGAAGACCAGGAGACTCGGGCTGTATCTTAAGCAGGATTTTTTATTGAGAACACGAGCTGTTGGTAGCTGTTGTCAACGAAATCTCGTCTCAAGTCTGACTAAAATCAGTATAGACTTGAATTCATATACCTTTTTAAGGGGGAGGAGTAGGGCTGGGCGATAACACGATAACAATATGTATCGCGATAGACACGTGATCGATATCAATAAAAAATGTGTTCAATAAAATGTTCAATATTTGTTTTCTTCGTCGGAAGAAACCACAGGTTGCGAAGCAAGTTTGGTTGCAATAACAAAGACACTCGCTCTCTGGTAATCTAGCAATGTTGGGAGTGACCCGCTAACAGGCAATCATGTAACGGTGTCTGTTTGGTTGCGTCATATCGTTGTCTCGTGCTGCTGGATTCCTCTTCAGTAACCTGCGATTGATAAGCAGAAAATGAGTTCCCTTCATCTGCATGCCAGGCAGGCTAGAATTGCGAAACATTATTGGATAATTCGCTCTATTCACATTTGATGTGAACACAGCATAATGAACAGGCTGCGATGTCAAGATTGCAATGCTGGAGTGTGTGTGTGTGTGTGTGTGCGCGCGCGTGCGCACATGAGAGAGTAGGCACGGGCGGTGATCGAAATGTGTGTGTGTGCGTGTGAGAGAGAGAGAGACATAAAAACAGACTCCGTCATTTTGTTAATACAGGACATCATTCAGTCTGCAAAGTGTTTACTTATATTTGTGTAGGCCTATACTCGCAATAAAACACAACATTGTGCTTTTGTCACACTGTATTTCTTGTCAAACTGTAACCTACAACTCTCTCTCACACACACACCGTTTTAAAAGCAAAACATATTTATCCAACCCCTTTTTAAAACAGTCTATGTTCCATCTTTTGGACATTCATCATATCGCATTAGTTTTCATTTCTTGTCCTCAAAACAGAGCACTAATCTGTTTATTTTTCAGTTACACATTGATTAAAAAAGAAAATAAAATGTATTGGTAGTATTATTTTATACGGAAATCAATTATTTATAATTCTGATGAGAATAAAGTTAGGGTTAATTAAAATTAAGGAAAACAAATATATTGATCTGAAATATAGCAAATTAATGTTAAATTCATTCAGGTACAATTACCAAACATATCTCAAGGTCTTTTTTTTATCTTTTTACTAATTTAATAAACTAATTATATAAAACTACTATCAGTGCACTATAAACAAACTGGTTCTATGCCTTTATTAATAAAACTTATTTAAAAAATACAAGGCTTAAGACATTTATAAAAATCCCTTCTTTATTTCTGTTTTGCTTTTTTACTCCATTGTATCAAAATCGTACCGAACCGTGATGTCTGAACTGAACTGTGACTTCTGTGTACTGTTCCACAGAAGGTTTGTTGCAGGTCTGATTGTGAATTTAGACTTATGTTTACATTTTAATTATTTGAGTTTTCCATGGTTGTGTTGACATTTCTGTTTTGGGATTATAATCAGAGGAAGGTTAAGTTTAAAACAAAAATGTTTAAATGTAATATATTTTTCTCCTGGTCCTTATTTTAAATAGATCATAAAAAAAAAAAATCAATAGTTATCGATATCGACCGTTTCGAAACACTAGTATCGTGATACAGTTTTCAGCCATATCGCCCAGCTCTAGGGAGGAGTTACATCGAGGGGGGATACATTCTGAAACAAAGCATGCAAATGAAGTAGGAACACAACCTACTTGGAGGGGACTACCAGTAACTATTCAAATGTTGATACTGGCCAGGAACTCTAGTTCCAAGAGCCATCCCAGAGCCATTAAAGACTATGGGCCCTATTTTAATGATCTGAAACACAAGTGTCAAAGCGCATGGCGCAAGTAACTTTGTGGGCGGGTCCCGGTGCTGTTGCTATTTTCCCGGCGGGATATATGCCTCTTGCGCCTGGCGCAAATCTAAAAGGGGTTGGTCTGAAGTAGCTTCATTATTCATAGGTGTGATTTGGGCGCAACGTGAAATAAACCAATCCGAGCGCCATCCAACATACCCTTTAAGAACAGGTGCGCATGTTGCATGACAGGTTATTATTATAACGGCGGGTTTACCAGGCGCACCCAGGAGCGTTCACAGCCGATGAGACAGACGTTATTGTCACGAAAAGACAGAGAGGTGACGTTGTATGGGGATGGGAGAAACTCTCGCACATCAGCGTCGGTTAAACATTATAGCCTATACGTATGTTGCACTATTGGGCAAATAGGTCTGATCCAGTACTACAATTAGCCTTAAAAAATGGGTAAGTCGGTTTTTTCATCTTTATGTAAACCACAATGATTTGTGAATATTTTTCCTTGTTATAATGTATGATTTGCAAAAATAAAAACTACTGCATCTGTGTTGATGAGAGAATCAGTGTATGCGCGTTGTGTACCCGCTACATTGGGCAAGCATGCGCGCTTAAAATAGCAT